CTCCAAACTCTGGCGAAGGCACCGCACAAACACCCCGGTTAAAAAATACTACGTAGATGGGAGAAGAGAAGGGGAAGGAGAAGAGAAGCACCAGAACAGCAGATCTGTGGCGAGTGAACCTAACCTGGGTTTCAGCGCCTCTACCGTAGGCATGAGGGTCAGAGCGCCAGATCTGCTCCAACCCCAAAGTAGTCCGGCTGCGGCAGCGGAGCCAGAGCTGGGCGTCTGCTCACAGTGGCCACAGCTCGATTTACTTCCGCTGCTGTTCTCAGCTCTCCCCACAGCCAAGGACAGATATTAGCAAAAATCAAAAAGCGAAAGGAAAAGGAAGAGACCACACCACAGTCCCCCCCCCTCCCCACACACACACATCTGTCCTTTATCTTGTTATCTCACAGCCTCCTCACCCATTGTCTCATCTTAGAGAACAGGGCTAGGAAGTTAGCACTTCTCTGTAGCCTCCTCCCTAGAAACCACAGGCACACAAATAAAGCCAATGGACAATTCCCACTTCCGTACAAATCTCCAACCTGCAGCCCGGACTCTGGAGAGCAGCCCTTCCAGGAGATGTGGCTCCCTGCTCAGCTCTCCTCTCCTCTCCTCTCTTCTCCTTGGAGTCTCTGATAAATTGACTCCAGGAGCCTGAGCTTCTTAGGAATAAATAAGCTCCAAATATAGAAGAGGGGGGAAAATATGATGAGCCTCTCTGACATTTGTCTTTAAAATAAAACTAGCTGCACGTCAAGTTTGAGCTTAATTTCTGGAAATAGGCGGAAGTCGCTCCGGATCATGCATGGAAGGCTAATTGAAAAGATCAGTCGGGGCGCTTGTGGCAGCCTTGTCACTTTGTGACAGTGCTCCGCTCCGGGAAATTGCATCGTCACGACAAACGGGACCATGATAAAACGACCCTTTCCGTCCCTATTTGTAGATCACTCAGACGAGATGGAGCTGCACTCGTTTCCCCTTCGAGGGGAGCCGCGTGTCCAGGGTAGCAAAGGCTTGGGGCGGAGGGGGGCCCTCACGGAGAGGGGGGCCGGAGCCTAAGCTGATGAGAAGTGACAAGCGTTTGGGGGACCTGGGCTCTGTCTGGACGCAGCATGAGTGGGGACGTCTCGGGGACATCACTTTTCCAACAGATCGAGGCCTAGTCCGCGCTTCCCGTCTCTCTCCCAAGTATCCTTCCTTTGCTGGGCAGGACCCAGCTACCCTCTAACCACAGGGCTTCCCCTTTGGACAAAGGAACCCTTCCCAGAAAGAGAAGTGCTGTCCTAGAGAGACCAAGAAAGGCTTCCCAAACTTCAGGCACGGCCAGGCGAATCCCAACCTCTGAATGCCAAGGCGTATGAGGTCGCCTAATCCTAGACCTTCCTCCTCCCCGCCCCCCCTCCCCACATTGCAAAATAATAATA